GACAAAGCAGGACAATAATAATAGAATAAAAAACAAATCAAAAGCATGAATAGGCCATGGCAAACAGATGTGTCTTAAGTGATGGTATGAACTCTAGGCCTTTACTTTAATATTGAAAAAGATATTTAGAAGAACTATCTTTATTGTCATCGTCCTTGGTGTGAACAGGCCTTTAGTCATTATTACTAGATCATTATAATCGGTTTTACTGATATCTTTGACTATATACGCATTTCTTCTTTAATCTTCAGTTGTGTATGATATTGATTTAACTGATTAATGTGTGTTTTTGAGGAACAACAGCAGTGCACAGTAAAACTGACTAATTTTATGCATAGTTATGTCTTGCAGTGGATGTGAAGGTGACATTTATATCTCATTTATATGTAAATATTGAGTCAAAGATCAAGTTTTCATGATTTGAAAGCTTTACGTATGTGTGTTCCTTCTGGCCCACAGTATAATTTCGGTGAGGATATACATGATCTGAATGTGTTCACTGCTTGAGAGCGGAGCATACATGGTCAGCTCTCGAGGTGGATGGCTGTGTACACAAACAGCCCATTCTCACCCCCAAGGCGTCACTTAACTGACGCCTTGGGAAGCATTTGGACATGCTTCAATATCTGACGCTTTAGGCGCCCTTTAGCGTCAGTAAGATGACGCCCTAGGATCGCGTGTACCCTACCCCCACCCCACACCTAAACCTAACCGCGTCCTCTAACAGACGCTTTCCTTTAGCGTCAGTTAGATGACGCCGTAGGATCGCGTCATGTAAGTGACGCTAAAGGGCGCCTAAAACGTCAAATATTGAAGCATGGTCAAAGGTGACGCCTTGGGGTGAGAATGCGTTGACACAAAACAGTTTCCCTGGACTACGTTACACTCCCGCCTGGCCGTGTTTCGATGTAAGCGGCTAGGCTTGCGCTCCCCGCGGTTCAGGTCCTGAGGCTGCTGAGGCGGCCCGATGGCTTTACTCGTGGGGTTCGCGAGTGGAAAATTTGAGCCTGCTTCAGACCTTTCTCAGCTCTCAATATTTAGCCCCAGCACTCGTTTTGGGACACAAAAATCCCGCTTTGAGTGCATATTACTTTAACTGTCCACTTCTGACGAGGTGGACGTCCTAAGCATCAATATGGGTGACTAAAGTGACACCCCTTTCATCGCAGAATGAGGAGTCCGTGGAGGTTTTAACTCGTGCCGTGGTTAATATATTACCGGGCCGATCGGTAAAATAATAATAGATGCCATTCTTTCCAGATCTCCAAATGGAGGTGAGGAGATCCTGGAAAAAGCATCCTCCTCATGTCCTCCCACAGTTGATTCATCGATCGTAGGGCTCTAGGAGAACTGCTATGGGACGATGCCCAGGGTTGAAGAGACTTTAGCTGTATTTCTCTCCCCTGATGCTGCATCGTCCCTGAAAAGCCGACCCAGAGAGAAGCCCCAGCCAATTACGTCAGGTTTCTCACAGCGGTGCCCCCTTCTGAGAAGGAGCGAGTTACATCCGCTCCTCCACGGCACTCTCAGAAAATTGATTCTTTAAGCCCCGCCGCCCATGGCTCTTGCATTGAACCAAAACCTCGTTGCCCGCCCATAAGCGATGCAATCAAGAGGGGTTTGTGCTCCATAAGGAGGACTGTAGAATATCAATTCGGTTCGACATGGTAGCAGGAATATCACCCATTCAAAGGGCCTGGAAATTGATTTATTGCTATTATTCACCTTATTATGACTCAAATAATACAATTCAATGTTTTTATTTCCATATTTACAGTTTGACTCTCCAAGATATCAGTGTTTTTGGGTTTGCATGTGTTGACTACTAAATGTCAGTATGACCCAGTTCAGACGTTTGGCCAAATTTCACCTGTAATAAGTCAGTCACCACACTGGAAACCTAGGCTACAAAATAAAACCTTTAGAACAGGGGTGCCCAATCCTGTTTGTGAGGATCTACCTTACTGCAAAAGTTCAGCTCCTCCAACTCTGATCAACACACCTGAACCAGCTAATGATAGTTGCATCTCCCTACTTCAGAAGCCACTACAAGTCAGGGCACAGATCAGGGAGTCGGCCATTTTAAAGGCTGTCTCAATCGCAAAATCATTCTAGTGCACTGACACGTTCGCTCCCTAAAAAGTCCCACAATGCACCATGAAAACCAGAAGCATCGATACTCGTTGAGGCTGCAACAGTAAACAAATAAATTTTGTCCGAAATTTTGTGAAAACCTTCGTGCACAAGCGCTGCTTCATTGCCTACAGTGAGGCAACAAATTAGATTTCAAATGTAGCCTAAGTTAAAGGGTTAGTTTCTCCAGAAAGGAAATAAAGACATCATCTAAGTAGTCCATGTGACATCAGTGGGTTAGTTACAATGTTTTGAAGCATTGAAAATACATTTTGGTCCAAAAATAACAAAAACTACGACTTAATTCAGTATTTGTCTTCCGGTTCTGTTGTGGATCCGCGTTTAGTGACACTGCTTACGGGTTATCTAGCTACATTGTACCTACAATATAGTGATCCAGGGTCCTTACTGTCTTTACCAGTGCTTGAACTCATGTACACACTATACATATTCATGACCTTGGGAGCTGATTAAGACGCACCATGAGATCTTCAGGTGCACTCGATAATTACAGAGAGGAGTGTTTGATAAGGGTTAGATCTGAACTCTGGAGGAAGTTAGATCTGCATGAACAGGATTGGGCAGCCCGAAATAAATAAAGCATGAAAAATAATGTTTACAATCTACACTTTTAAAATATGTATTTCTGTTGCTTTTCTCTGTCTGTGCCAGACACCATTTCTCATCATAGTTTAGACGTTTTTTATAGCAGGACAGGAAGAAGCTCTTCACCTTTGTTCACACATGCTCTCTAAACAACCATTCTCTCTCACAAACAAGTTTGCCCACCAGCAGATCAAACCACATCTCTGAAGAACACCAACCGCATCTTTCAGTTTCACTCAGAAGAAAAACTTCAGTAAACCGGTATGTGAGAATAGACACGTGGTTTAACTTTTTCCATACACTAAAAATGAGAGCTGAATAAATATCCACAGCCATTTTAAAATTAAAGTTACACTCCATTTCACCGCACAATGTTCATCATATATTTTCATCCAATATTCACACAATATTCTTCAACTTTTAAATATTTAACATCATCAATTAACTACATTTCAATGATTGTCTAAAACAGAATGTTTTTCACTATTAAAAACAGTTTTATTACATAATAGTCTTATTCTAAGACTCTATGTAACCATATTTAACATGCGTATGAGCGGCTGTGAACTATAGGAGGGTCAAACTCTGTCAGGGGAGGATTCACACGCAAGATTACCAGTTCCGTTACACTTGTTTTTATCAGTTTGAGTTTTCACTGGACAACTGAACATGTTTCTCACGATTGTTTTGTTCTGTTTTTGCTGCTGTCGTCTCATTGGTAAGCTATTCATATATTCATGGTGTCATTTATTTGCATTGCAGAGTAATAAGCTTCTGCTACTTATTTTGCTACATAAGAAATTTTTAAAACACATTGAAGATAAATAATTGATTCACACATGTCTGACTGTTGATATGGGTCACCTTTCATTTTGATAAGCATCTCTGCTGCTGTTCTTATAAAGGTTAGCAAATGAGATCAGGCTTTGTAAGAGCCTTAATAAATGACAAAACCTCTTCATGTTCATCAGGTGTGTTTGGTGATTCGGTGTCAGTGACGGAGGGAGATTCTGTTACTCTAAACACTGATCTTACTGAAATACATGAAGATGACGACATACTGTGGAAATATGGAGATGAAAACTCTCTCATAGCTCAAATCAGTAAAGCTGCTGGAGTCTTCACCACATATGATGATGTTCCTGATGGGAGATTCAGAGACAGACTGAAGCTGGACAATCAAACTGGATCTCTGACCATCACAAACACCACAACTGAACACACTGGAGTTTATACACTATTGATAAGTGGAGCGAAACGATCATCAAAAACATTCAGTGTTTCTGTCTATGGTGAGTAGAGATCACATCTTCAGTCCTTCAAATATTCTTGTTATTATGAAATTATTAATTATAAAATTAATTAGTAGCATAATGTTGATTACCGCAAAAATTATTCTGAAAAAAAAAGGGGAAAAAAAAGGCACTTACAATGGAAGTCAGTTTCGTAAGGATTTAAAAGGAGAATGTGAATAATTGAATAGAAACACAATAATTATTCTCTAGTTAATCTGTACTATATAAAACATATTTTTTTGTGCTGTTTTAAAATTTTAAAAGTTCTTTTGGCAAAGGGACAAAATTATAAAATTAGACAACTTTACACACGAAAATTTAGCAACATTTTTTTTGACTAAAATCATGTTCACATTCACGTTGTTCATGTTTTGCTGTACTGATGAAAACTCATTAACTTCCATTGTAAGAGTCTCACTGTAACTCGCTTTTCTGCTGGACAAATAAACTAAATTTGCCTTTAATTGCAACAAATGCTGTTGATTAGGTTTAACTTGTACTGAACTCTGAATTCTCCATTATTTTTATATTTTGAGATGATAGAAATACGCTCTGACTGTCATGCCACTACACTGGAAATAAGATTGTTGACTATATATAACCATTATGTGTTTGTTTATTCTCTTATATTTTCCAGCTCGTCTGCCCACTCCTAACATCACCAGAGATTGTTCATCATCATCATCATCATGTTCAGTGGTGTGTTCATCATCAGTGTTGAGTGTGTGTGATGCGACTCTGTCCTGGTACGCAGGAATGAGTGTATTGTCCAGCATCAGTGTGTGTGATCTCAGCATCAGTCTCTCTCTACCTCTGGAGGTGGAATATCAGGATAAAAACACCTACAGCTGTGTGCTGAACAATCCCATCAGCAACCAGACCACACATCTGGACATCAACACACTCTGCAGACACACATGTGCAGGTACACCACCACTCATCACATATATGTGTGTGTGTACTGACCTGATCTCTGTCTTCTGGTGTAGATCAGACTAACGCGTTCACTTCTTTCTTCATCATTACACAGACACACACACTCCCCCTCCAGTGTTTCTGATAGTGTTGATCTCGGCTGGATCTCTGATGATTGTTGCTGCCTTTGGGATCTTCTACATCTGCAAGAAATGTAGAAAAATTGACAGTGGAGGCAAGTGTTACAAAGAAGTATTACTGAATAACAAATAATGCTTTTAAAATGTGCTCTAAATATTTTTGATGGATTGATTGCATTGATCATTTAATCAATTATTGTCAGACAATTATTTTCATAATTACTTTTTATAAATGATCAAAGTTCATTTTTATTAAAAACAATGGAAATGCAAAAACAGAAAAGAAAATCTCCATGTTTTCAGCAATAAAATGCGTTCTCTATTTTATAAATATAATCTTACAAGGGTAAAAAACCTGCAAATGCTCAAATTAAAATCTCTGCGAATGATGACTTGGTAAATTTCACCACACAAAAATGATAAATTAAAGAATATTCTCTCCAATTAATGGTAAACACAAACTCTGTCTGTTCTGAATGTTTAGTGTGTGAAAATGTTGTAGAACTAATGTTAAACGGTTGAAAACATTTCTAAAAACTGTCTCAGTGAACATTTAATTAAATGTGTGCATTAATGTTTTAACTTTGACAGCCTAATTATATGCTGTAAAGAAAGAGATCAAGTTGAGTTGTGTTGTTTTAATGTCTCTATTTTTGTTGAAACAGAGGAGACTGGAGCAGACGCGATCACTTACGCAGATCCAGTGTTCTACAAAAGAAACGCTCAGAAAACGGTAAGAGAAAAATACACTTCACAGTTCACATTAAAGCAAGCAATTAGTCATATGAACCACTGCAGGATCTCCATTTTTTAAACTAATGTAATTACTCCCAATAACAAAAGTCCCTTAAGGGGTTGTTTAATTAAAATATATGTTCTTGTGTCAGATAAGTACTAGCAAGAAATAGTATGATAAATATTATTTAATTCATTAGTATTATTATTAGTAGTATGCTATCACCCACAACTTTTTATAAAAGGCGTTTCCTCAAGCTGGTTTATGTCAGATTTGCCGTAGGAGGGAATTATTTTTTCATATAACATAGCCGATCACATTACATCTCAATCAATCTTTAAAAATAACCAACCACATTTCTTATTATTATCATATATTTTGTTGTTGTTTATTACAGAAAGTAAAAAGGGAGGAACACATGGATTATGCCCCTGTCAACTTAAGCAGATGATCAAATTATTGCCATAAGTACAAGACAGCTGTTTGATCACTTTCAATGGAAATCTCCTTTCATGTTTCATCTTAAAGTACAGAGCCCCTAAGGGACGTTAAAAAAAATTAGATGGGAGGGGGGGGAAAAAAATCACAAGTATTGCAGTCCCTTGAGAAGAATTTGTTCTCTCGCAAAACTATTCGTTTTTAGAAAAATGTCATCACCTTGTCTCTTTATGGGCTCTGTAATAAAGAGACCTGGTTATGAATCTCATGAAAAAAGTGAAAAACATAAATGTAAAATATAGTGGAGGCCCATTCTTCCGCCATCAACATCTGAACACATATTGTTAGATCTGTTGGACAAATAGCTTGTGTGTTTGTGTTTGATGTCAGTTTTTTGTGTGTGAGGTGTCAGTGTTTGAGTCAAGAGTGTGGTCGAAGCGCTTTTTCCATTCCTGCTTTTTACTACAAAATTCTGAACTTCCTTAAATCAAACACTGATATTTCTGTGATATATGAAAATATCTTAAACTTTGTGTGCATTTTGCAACATGACCTTATACATGTACGCATTGATCGTGCAGACAAGCTCTGCTAGTTTCAGTAGTTATTTCCAGGAATAGGAAGCGAGGCAGAAGTTATTTCTAAAAACTATTCTTGATCTTTTTAAAATAAAGGTCATATCCTTTTCATATCATTGAGCGCACAGTACCATAACAGTACCAATATTCTGGTTGCTATATTCAACAGGAGGTTAACAATTTCACAAAGCTCAAACAGTCCAAACTGGTTTCTTCTTACAATGAGTTCATAACTCAAATGGCCTACACCAGGGGTGTCAAACTCAAATACACAGTGGGCCGAGATCAAAAAATTGCTATAGGTCAAGGGCCGGACAGGTTAAACACTTATTGAAACAACGTATTATTATTATGAACCTGAAAACAACAAGGTCTATATATTATTGCCAATAAAACAACATTAATTAGGAAATAAAATAAAATAAATAAATAAAATCAGTTTCACTAATTTCTTATGGTTATTTACAAAAGTTATTTACTTCAAAGGAAAATCAAATGTCCTATAGCAAGAGAAAGAAATGCAAAAATGAAAGTCCACCTTTTCAAAGTTCACCTTCCTTCAAATTTGGCTGATTATTTATGCTGAAAAATGGCCGAGTTTTGGTCTGTACTAATCTGTCACTGTCACATCGGGGAAAATACCTTTTGAGTTACAGACTACCAAACGTTAAAGAGAAGAGTGCAAAAACTGATGAAAGAAGGCGTTTGTGGTTGACAGAGGCACAGCATCAGCAATACGGCACTGACATTGACACTGATGGAGGGGTTTGCATTTGCAATAGTGATGTTTTCTTATTTAATTTTTACAACATGGATGTGTGTAGCCACCGCCGCGCTGGACTATATTAGGGACTTTAAGCAACAGCCTCTGGTGGAATTGCGTATTGAGCTGCAGAACGGTAGGAATCTGTTATGCAACGTTACGGCTTTTTCCGCGTTCTTGTCAGCGCCGGTTTCAATACATGTTTCAGAAATAATATTTTTCTGCTCGTCCGGCACTTTGCAACAACACAGCATTGTTTCGGCAGCGACTTGCAGCATGTCTCCTCTAAAACTGATGTTTAACGTTACATTTTATGTGACGTGAAAGTCGCATTCCATCCGAAATCCGATCGTTCAGACTGAGGCATATGGTATTTGAATAGGATTTCAAACCACATATGGATGTAGCTGCTAGCTTGAAACGGATTTCATGTGCTTTTTGGACTGACAATCTGAGCGTAGCCTATGTCGGAACAAGAAAATAGAAGGAAGAATTGCAGTACGGGCTATAGAAGCTCACCATTACCACATATTAACTTTAGTTTGTCAAAATATTACGCTCTCTCCTGCTTGGTAAGTCCATCTCTATATGATTTCGTACCTACCAAGGGTTTTTTCTGTGTTTTTTAGTGTAACAATGTGTTCCGTAGTACATACATAGTGCAGTAAATGCTGTTGTTTACATCCGAGTGCCCCCATAATGGCCACTCATCCGGGTTACCGCCCAGAATGTCACGCTTTCGCGGTCATGTTTCCATGGTGACGCGTCATTGCTTGTCACGTGACACAGTGACGGCGGGCCAGCTCTAAAAATAAATACATTTTGTCATGCGGGCCAAAAATAATTCATTTGCGGGCCGGTTGTGGCCCGCGGGCCTTGAGTTTGACACATGTGGCCTACACAGTCACTAGGGGGTATTCCAGAAAGCAAGGTTAACTTAATTAAATTTTTAATCAAAATTGAACCTATTTACTTTGCTAGCGCATATTACTAGTCTTGTGGTGAACAATTAATCCGTGCAAGTAAATATATATTAAAAAAATGTTTTACCTTAATAATCTTTAATCAAAATCTGAAAAGTTACTTCCGGTCTGGAACGGTTTCTTTTTCTGATGACGTAGGTTTCACAGTTTGGGTGGGGAAACGCTTAACCACTCCCCTATAAGACGAATCCGACGAGCGTTCTTGTGTAGGCTGCCATCTTGTGGCGACGCCATTACTGAGCTGTTACACCGGCATAGACATATGCACCAGTATGTAAACAAACCTCGGAGATAAGGTGATAACGCACCCTTGATGACAGCTACAGACAGGCAGACTTGTTGGGTTGATGATGTTAGACATTGGCCTCCAGTCAAAGATGAAGGTACAAACGATCTTACAGATTATTTATGAAAATAGCTTGGCAAGCAAGCTAGGCTAACGTTTGCTACCGAGGAAACTAAAAAAAGATCTGTCCATTTGGCAACAATAAATAAATAAATAAATGAAATCAAATAAACAATTTCATGTTTTTCATTTGTGTCCATTATTTATCTCATTTTTACATTACAACGGGCAAGGGTAAGGTAACGTTACAGCTAGAAAGTATACATAATATCGACCAACTACTGTTTTTAAACCATGGAAAGAAGTCAATATAACAGCAGGAGAACAATTATGTCACATAACGTTACATTCAGCTCAAGAAAGCCATTTAATGACCATAGCATGTAAATTGAATAGAAAAAATAACAAGAGAGGAGATTTTGCTGATCACTATATCACACATTTATTATATTTTTTTACTTATGTCATTAAATAATTGTTATTATACGCGAATGTCCGCGTCTTGTACTCGCCCAGGAAATCTGTGTTTACCGTACGGCACCAGACAGGGGCAGTCGACCCGGGGTATTCACAATGTTTTCTCTTCAAAATTGAAATTTTACTGCCACCATTAAAACAATTTATAACGGAAACTGTTTACCCACTCGACATTATACAAGGGCTAACGTTGTAACGTTAGTGACAGTCGTAAATCTCGAGCTGTTTATTCCAGTGGACGCAAGTTGCAACTAAAACAATAGAAGGCAATGGCGCAACGCTACCCAGCAACAGCTCAGTAATGGCGCCCGCTTACTTCCGGTAGTTTCGCCGGATTCGTCTATAAGCGAGAGATGGAGAGGAGGAGCGCTAGAGTAAAACCCTGCCCTCTGTTCAATATTCCGTTTTACTTGGAAATACGTCACAGCACTGGAGAAAAATCGTTTGCAATTTCCGGTTCACGGGGACTTTAATATTAACCCAAACCTTGCAAACTCGAAGTATCGTCTACAGGTTCCAAAATCTTGTCGCTAATGAAACCTAAAACCTGTGCTTTTAAAGATAATATGGTTGTTGGTGTAACCCCATCATGTCGCAAGAGATGAGTAGCACTTTAGAGGGCCACAACCATAGTGTGTTTCATTGAGAATATAACAAAGTTTATTGCACAATATTCACAAGGAGCACATGCGGCACTCAGAACTGGCAAAGAGAGAAAACAAACAAAATTGTAACCATTACAGACATTGACACAGTACCACAAAGAGGAAGTCCTAAACAGTTTGGTTTCTCTTCATAGCGTCTTAACTCATGGGATTTGTAGTCCATCTAGCGTAGTCCTTCACCTTCAACCCCATTACATAGGTTTATTTTTTTGTTTAGCCATTTAACTTAACGTATTTTGTTCTCTGCATTTCACTCATCCAAGTGATTTCCTAATTCTTATATCATGTAGCTTTGAGATTTTGTTATACTTTCCCCTTGACTTGTTTTTGTTGTATTTGTTGAAGAAAATATCACAACTTTATTCATTAAACACTGGTGTATGATTCATCTTTTATTTTGCAGAGTGAAATGAGTAGTGGCGTAGCCAGGGGAGGGGCCATGGGGGCACTGGCCCCTCCTGAAAACTGATTGGCCCCCCAGTGTGCCCCCACCCTTCTAATTGTCTGTCACTCAAAAATTCAAATCATAATCTTTCAGCTTGTAGAATAATTCATGATTCCGCGTCGCGCGATGCTTCTCAAAACCACACGGTAAGTTGATATATTTTATACAGCTTATTATTTTTTAAGGAAAGACGATGTGTTTTCACCCTGCTGAGGGGAAAATGATAAAGCCTGGAGTGGAGCGAAAGCACGTTCCTCTCTCCACTCTAAGCATTCTGTAATCACTTCGCTCATGGTCCACTCCGGTTTTTCAATTCCCGCTCAAGGAATAACTGCTCCATGTTCACTCAATTAGTCTTAGATTTTGAGAAGTACATGTCAGGCTACTGCTCGTTTGCTGCGGTCGTATGATAGAAAACAGAACGCGGGTCAATATTGGTCGTTTCTCAATACCAAGAACGCAAACTTCGGAGAACGAACTCCCGAGGACGAGAGGACGCGAGTCCGGTCATTCTGCCAATGGAATAGCGCGTTCTTGATCGCGTCACTCAGCATGCGGCTACTCCGGTTATCTCTTATATGGTATAAAACACAACTTTGCTTCTTTTCATCAACAATAAAACGAAATACATATAAAACAGCACTCTGCCTCATTTCATTTATAAATGGACATTATCATGAACAGATTAATGGCCACAAAAATGTGGTTCAGGTAACCTTAACTCACATTGACTATCTTCACTGCATATATTTATAACACGAAATATAAAACACAACCCTGCTTCTTTTTATTTTCATTTTAAAAATGTGAAACATTATTGGTCATTAAAACTGACATTTAACAAACAGACAGGGTTGTATCGTTTTGTTGTATTACACACAGTGAAGAGAATGTATAGTAAAAACATACACATAAAGAATATTTTATATATTTTAGAATATATAAAATTACACAACCATGTCTCTTTTGTTAAATGTCAGTTTTAATGATAATATCCCATTCAAAAGTATAAGTAGCCTAATAGGTAGGCTATAATAAGCTATACAATGAGAAAACAAGTAAACAATTCAGTTAAACATTCTCTCAAGTCAGCTCTCTAATGGGATACAAAGTTAAAGTTAAATAGCCTAAAAGTTAAATATATAAAGTTATGAAACTTCACTTTTCCCTCAGCCAGTTAGCATTGTTTGGTCTTATAGACCATTTCACAAGATGTAAACAACACTGGTCCAGAAGCACTTCCTGTTTCAGTTTTTTAACACTACATAAAAACTGGGATAAAATACAACCAACAGAACATTTAAAACTGAATCAAAAAGTTAAACAAACATCTTTAAGATGTTTTCTTTACATGTGAAATAAAGAAAACAGTTACAAACTGAAACAGGAAGTGCTTCTGGACCAGTGTTGTTTACATCTTGTGAAATGGTCTATAAGATAAATAAAAACGTGCACTGAAAAGTTATGTAGATGGTTGATTAGGCCTATTTGTCAAGATAAGTAATTGTTTTTCATAAATTAAAATAGCTTTTAAATTACGCAAACTGGCAATATTAGATCGGTTTAAAACATCTCTCCTTAAAACGCTATTGGTCTCGACTATTTAAATAAAGTTACAGGAATATGACTTGGCCTGAAAAAAAAAAAAATCAGTCAAAAGAATTTTTAATTTAATCCCTGCATCCAGAAACATTCTCAAATAAAAAAATATAAAAAAGATAATTAAATAAAAATGCATGATTAAATAGCAAAATAAATAATTAATACTACTGGATAATTAAGTCACTGTTTCTATGATCCACATATATTACATTAAACTTAATCATACCTTTTTGAAAAAGTAGCTATCTAACAAAGTATTATATGTGATATTTTACAATCAATATGCTCAAGACTAAATAGCCTTCCTCGAAATAAGCAGATTTGGTCTATTCATCAATGCAAATTTACTGCAACTGCTGAAATGCAAATTGAATAGGATGTGGGGAAAAAGATGTATACAATTTTATTACAGTTTTATGAATTCATTAATTGTGTATTTATTATATGAATGATTAATATAATTATGCATTTATATAAATAAGGCTGTTCTATTATTATTTGTGAGTTGGACACGAATTCATTGGATTATTTTATTTATTACAGTTTTTCTATCACTTTTGTAAAGTGAAAAGTTAATATAAATTGTATTTTATTGTTTTGATTTAGAGCAGTAAATAACTGCTATTAAAAGATAACAGGGTATCACTGTTTATTGCTGATTTTAAAGCTTACTGAACTTGAAATGATTTGGATATCTATAGTTCTACATAAATACACAACATAAGAATGGCCCCTCTGTAATAATTGTGGCCCCTCTTGTGCCCCCCAGTTGAAAAAATCCTAGAATCGCCCCTGGAAATGAGCTGGCCTTAACACCCGTTACCATTAAGGTTTACCTAATAAAGTGCCTGTGGGTGTTTACAAATAGTATGAATGTATAACGCCATCTTGTGTTTGAAGTAGAAATTCACAGTTGAAAAACACCAGTTATGAGTGAAAAATGCTTTTAATGAAATCTTTCCCACGAACAAACACATTTCTTTCCAATTAAATCCATGTTTTTGAAGCAAAACTTTGACTTTTTTAATTCTGACTGATGCAAAGTTGTGTACAAATGTAAAAAAATACTTAGATTTGATTTTTGTCTATCCACACAAAATAAAACATTTTTATATACATAGATCATTTGAATATCTAACACAAATAAAATGAACCATTCGTGATTTTAAAAGGGAAACATTCTTGTCCAATTCATGATTTACATCATGGTAAGATTCTTGATACAGGATTTTGTGTGAGTTTGGCAAATGACATTATTTAACTTTGAAATTACAAAATATTAGCATGACAAAAATAGGTGACAATAAATTAGACATTACACAAGCATTAGAATCTGAAGACCACAATACAGTACATGATATGTAGAAAGAGCAAGATGTCATCCAAAAATGAAAGACACCTAAAGTATTGGTAGTTCAAACTCCATTCAGCAACTGCATGTTTTTTGATTGACGGCTGCTTTTAAAGGAGTAGTTCACTTTAAACAAAACTTTTGCTGATAATTTACTCAGCCCCATGTCATCCAAGATGTCCACGTCTTTCTTTCTTCAGTCGAAAAGAAATTAAGGTTTTTGATGAAAACATTCCAGGATTTTTCTCCATATAATTATTTTTTCAAAACGAAACGATTTAGTTCAAAACTAAGTCAAAACAAATCTTTTTTTGAGTCATTTCGTTCATTCAACGACCAAAATGAACGAAATGACTCGAAAAAAGATTTGTTCATTTTGATGAACGAGTTTGAATAGGAGAGTCATGAACGCGCATCACAGAACAGAGCAAGGCGACCATTTGAGCTTATAAAACTTAAAACTTTGTTATTTATTTTTTAAATGAGCGATGGTTTCGCTAGATAAGACCCTTATTCATCATCTGGTGTCGTTTAAAGCCCTTTGAAGCTGCACTGAAACTCTCATTAGGAACCTTGAACCGTTTGATTCCCAATGAAGTGCATTAAATGGAGAAAATCCTGGAATGTTTTCATCAAAAACCTTAATTTCTTTTCGATTGAAGAAAGACAGACATGGACATCTTGGATGACATGGGGGTGAGTAGATTATCAGCAAAAGTTTTTTAAAAAATTGAACTAATCCTTTAAATTCCACAACTGTGCATTTGGGAAGCGTGGTTGTCAAATACACTTCTTGATCATACTGGCAGTCTTGGAAGGGTAAAACAATCAGCTACTATAGGACGAACATAGATGGGATAAAATAACCAATGTTAAACCAAATCAGTGCAAAAAAACAAAAACAAAAAACAAAAACAAGGGTCTCACTATTCCTGTCTGGATCTTTTTAGCAGAATTAATAAACCTCTACAGACTTTGAAACCGGGGCAAGTGTTTGACGTTTTCCAGAAAAGACTTAAATCAAATCCCAAACTAAAACACATTGTTTAGCTGTTTAAACAAAGCAACTTGCACTGAAATGTCGTACTAAAGAATAGTCTGTGCCATTTTTTCATCTCAAGATACACACCAGTTATGTTTTTAAGGCATGTTTATAAAAGCTACTTAAATGTCCTAATTGAACTAAGGTCTAATTCCGGCTTAATCTAAACCCTGTCTATGAAACCAAGGCTTTCTTTTTCTATTTCTAGTTAAGTGTCACTTTGGTTCATGCTTTAATGCTTGTTTTCATGCATAACTGCCTTTTAAAAAAAGGTTCAGGGGAACAAGGAGGCAGGAACAGTCAAGTTCACACAATATAATCATAAATTAAACCAATACAAAGTGGCAGGGGACCGACTACTCATCCTTCTGTCGTCACTCCTTTTCTTTATCAGATGAGAGAAAAAAAGACGGAAGCATGAGGATTGACGGAGACGAGAAAAAGTGGAAATCGAATTTACGGACACGGCAGCCAGTCCACAAGACTGAAAGTGTTTATGAAGTATGCCCATGAGACACTTGAGACTTCTTCCCTCATTATCCATCTTCATTAAATAAATGTAGCAAAATAATAATGTTACAGTGATATGTGATTGGCAGTCTCAGTATTGCATGTGTCTTTAGAAGGATCCGCATTTTTGCAAACGGTTGAGTATTAAACATCACTTAGCTATAAGAGAAAACAGATTCACAAAAGGCAAAATTAATGAACAAGATTGATGATTCAGTCACACAAACAGAAAGAAAATTAGTCTTGGAATTGTGTTTGAGGGAGCTGCAGTGGTTTCGGTTTCCTAAATATTTGACATAATACAGTACTAGAGTAGTACAACGTTTGAATGTCAATGTCTAATCCTTTTTGATTCAAATATAATAAAAACTACTCATTGAGAATGTGGGTGTTTTATAAAATTACTGACTGATCCAGTGTGTGATTTGACTTCCCCTACGTGTATTAGAAATCATTTAATCACATATATATTATATATTCATCATCAGAATGAAAATATATATTTTCACATACAAACTAATATTTATATCATGTTAAATCAGCTGTATGTAATACTAACCGTCTCGTTTGCAGGACGCTTGCGATAGTAAATCAAAGCAGCAGCAACAGCAGCAGCAGCAGCAAACACCAGACCTAGTATTCCCGCACGGACATATGGATTTCGACTTGTAGCTGTAAAGAGAAAGACATCAGTTTAACTGATGTTTTTGACCAACATTTACCCTTCCTGTTTTGTCCACAATGAAAGACACAGCATTTAAACTGACACTCACCTGTCATAGTAACACTGAAGCTCTTCATCCTCCTTATACTGAAGCTGTTGCTGATGATGTTGATCTCTAGTGTATAAATTCCAGAGTGTGTGTTTGTGGTGTGTGTGATGATCAGAGATCCAGTTTGACGATCCAGTTTCAGTCTGTCTCTGAATCTCTCTTTACACTGATCATCTGTACAGATCTGACTCTGATCTCCAGTGATTTCAGCGATGACAATGTCATTAAAATACCATGTGATCAAATCAATTGTTTTTTGTATTATACCAGAATCTAAAGTGACCGGTTCTTCCTCTTTCACGGTCTTCACTTCATCACGTCCAGCAGCAGAAACACCTGAAACACACACACACACACACACCCAGCTGCTGAAGGATCTTTTTAATGAAAACAGCAAACTATATATTTTAAAAGTATAATTTAATATTTTTGATAATTTAATAAATACAAGAAAAATATTATTTTATTTTTAATTTACATGAGGAACAGATTTAATTAGGCATTTAATGAATTCTAATCATTAAACAACACATACGCACAAAGTATGGTAAAACAGAAACATTAAAGACATGATTATATCATCGTTAGTTATTGATTATAACAAGTGTTCTTTGCTAATTTTCTCTACTTTTACCATAGTCTGTTTGAATACACAAAAATATGATTGGCTGGAATTTAAAAAACAGCAAATACACAGATAGTTCCAGTTGGTTTAAGGTACTGTATCAAGGTTTCACACATAATCCCTTTGGAGGATTTAAAAAATAAATCAGATTATTGGTGTTACTAACCATAAAAATAAAGCATCTTATGATAAACTTTTATCACACAATTTTATGTCTGATGGTGACTAACTAAAACTTACTTTCTTTTATTTAGGATGGAGCCATAAGACGAACTTTCGATATGATCTAACCTCCGAGCAAATTTGACTCAGTGTAACCTTGGATTAAATGGATTAAACGTTCTGTTCTTTGACTGTATTGTGAATTGATTGAAATATTAACACCTTACTATGTTTTTTATTTTTTGATATATATGTATATACTTATTATAATTCTGACTCTTGTCTTTCATTGACTGCACTTCTGACTCCTGGTCTTAATTAACCACATCTGGTCCTTGGGTCTTTAACAGTAAATTCCCTAATAGCTGCCTGTGACTTTTATTGATAAAACAGCTGTTACTAAATCAATAAATTACACATTACTCAGCAATGAGGGGGAAACACACACACACACACACACAATCTCTATCTCTTTCTTACACAAACGTAATCTTATCGCAGTACTTTATCTCTCTGTCTAAACGTTATATAAACATAATAACCTGCTTTTAAATGTTAAACGACTCACCATCAACTTCTAGACTGAAGGTTTTTTCAATGTTGCTGCCGAAGATCTGTAGTTGATATTCTCCGGAGTGTGTTTTTGTTGTGTGTGTGATGGTCAGAGATCCAGTCTGATGATCCAGCTTCAGTCTGTCTCTGAATCTCTCTTTACACTGATCATCTGTACAGATCTTACTCTGATCTCCGTTGATTTGAGCGATTTGAGTGTTATTAAAATACCATTTAACTCTGTCTTGTTGGTTTGTTTGAACACCAGTGTTTAGAGTGACTGAATCTCCCTCCTTCAAAAACACTTCAGCTCCTGAAGAAGAAATTACCAGATAATCATAAATCACTTTTAAAATTGTGGGTAAAAATTATTTTACTTTTTTTTTTTTTTACATGTGAAATAACAGTAACATTAATAGCCATGTCGTTTTATCCATTGTTCATGTGAAAAATGTTACGGTAAAAGCTCACTTTTTCATTTTACTTTACGGATTTAAAAATATTCAGCTGCACTTTAACACTTCTTAAAATAAAATGCATTGAATGACTGAATTATACTCACCACTGACAGTAACATTGAAGATCTTAAGGCTGTCAGTATTGGTGATGCTACTGATGATCTGTAGTTCATAAAGTCCAGAGTCTGCGGGTTGGATATCGCTGATGGTCAGAGATCCAGTCTGCAGATCCAGCTTCAGTCTGTCTCTGAATCTCTCAGTGCCTTCATTACACTGAACATCTGTACAGCTACTAATATGTTCAAGAACTTGAGCTATACGAGTGTTTTGAAAAAACCATTTAATTCTGTCTTTCTGGTTTATCTTAGCATTTGTGGGTAGAGTGACTGAAGCTCCCTCCTTCACGGTCAACATCAACACCAGATGTCTGTCGACATCAACATCAGAAACACCTGGAGAAGAAATGAACAGATAGTCATTAATCATTAATGTCTGGGATAATAGGGGGAATTATATAGCAGGAGAGTGCTGTGAAAATGTTATTCTACAGATCATACTGTGAGAAATATGTCTGTATTCATAATGTAACATGCAAACAGTAAAAGAACATCATAAATTTACACATTCACTCATTGGATAATCACAAATCTCATCAATGATCTTGTTCAAGCTTTAGAGATATTAAAATTAAACTTCCATAGCACTCAGTTAAGGCTTTAAAGTTCAGGTCCCTTTTAAAAACCAAAAACCATGTTTATTGTAGTTAACCCATGGTAACCACAGATTAACCATGTTTTTTTTTTTACATTAACCATTGTTTTGATAACTGTGGCAATACAAATGGTAATCAACCCGCCAAAAACATGGTTACTACACTTTTACAATAATAAAACCATGATTATTTTAAAGCGCATGCCTTCAACCCGGTCTCAACGTTTCACTTTTGACAAATAACCTGTTTTGCAGTTGTGAGGTTCAATCTTCCTCCCTCTACAAAATCTCCAAACATTAAATAATATAAAACTACTTAAAGCTATACAAAAATATATTCACCATTTAAAACAGGATTGATAACGTGTGAGTAATGGATCATCTGTTGTTATGGCCTACCACTCCTCAGTCTGCACCCTCATTATCATCTCTAATAATAGAATTATATCACTTGTCTTATAAAAATGACTTACCATATGGGAGCAAAACACACAGTGTGAGAAATATACTGAGCATTATTTCTCCACTTGTTTTACCAGATTCCAGAGTCCAGATTCTGTCGAAAGTTTCATGTCGACGCCATTTTGTTAACAATTTATCAATGAAAGTGAAAGTAAACTAGATTTGAAGAATTCAAAAGAAAAGAAGAAACAAAGCTCGTGTCGTTTTCTCCTGTGCATGTTGTGTTCGACGCCGAAGCTCGAAACGCGTGTAAATCAAACAGAAAAACAGACTATATGCTATTTTCTAGTGACGTGACGTTCGGCACCAAGGCTTCGAAGCTTCTGACAAAAAAAACGAAGCATCTCACGTGAAGCACTGTACCGGAGCTTGATTCGTTTTGCCATAACCATGTGATCAGTGACGTCCGAAGCTTCGTTTCAACCCACAACCACGTGACTGCTTCATATTCTGATTTAAAAATAGTGCAATTGCTAAAGTTTCGAGTGTCATGCGCTTGAGATTCACAGTTCACAAGCACTTTTACTACCCAGCACTTCACTATTCCACAAAAGATTTATTTTATTTTGATTATATGCCTATGAACTCATAAGGTGTAGGACTACTGCTAAAGTTAAGGCTGCATTGTTGAACATAGTTAATTTGTCCTATGTATTATTTCATAAATTAATTCATATACTCATTTTGTTCATACATTGTGTAAAAATCAACCCCAACACTGATGATTTTTATAATTGCTTTGTGGTTTTCATAGCACAAAGTGATTTATTACATAAAACAATACAAAAAAAAAAGCCAAAAAAAATTGGCAAAGGTAGCTTTTCCACCTTTTGACCACAAGATGTCGGTAGTGTGCACAGTGTTGAAAAGCTTCGAGTAATGAACCAATTTACGATACACTTGAGGGGAAAGCCTCAGTGCTTCAGAAAGCTTCATTTCACCATCAATACTATTTTCTTTTTTCTTTTCTTTTTTTTTTGCTTCGCCTCGCCCAACAAAATGTCGAATGCCGGTAGAAAGAAGGAGCAAACGGAGTAAAAGGGGTGACTGCTTCTTCTTCGTCTTGGGATGTTTATTGGTGGTTGGCAAACAGCTTATGGTGCATTATCGACACCTAGTGGAGTGTGGACCATCAATGAATAGAAAAATACAATACGTTATATTCTTATATAATTTCCTGTTCCTTTACAAAAAAAATATCAGAGCTAGTCTAATGTTTATTCCTTTGCTGTTTACTCTAATAAATACCCCATAATGTTATGGTATGTTTAATACAGTATAATAAAATAAAATATAAAACAATTTTCAATTAATGGTGTGATACTTAGAAAAAAGATGAACACTCACGATAAGTCTGTATTAATATAATAATACAGTGGGTTCTATATTTTTATCAGTTTTATGATTTTATTTTCACACAGAGTTTTTACTGCTACAAAAACACGAATTTGTGAGCATTAGCAAAGGTATCGCATATATTTATTATTATCATCATTCATTCATCACTTTAGTTCAAATGGAAGTATAAAACATGTATGCCATTATGCATTATAGTACAATTGTACAGTAAGAAAAATAAAAACAACTGTATATATATAAATGTTAGATAATAATATTAATCAGAATAATAATATCAATATCACATAAATACGTTGTAAAGCTGAAACGCCTCTTTTTTTTTAAACCAAATAAACACGTGACTATTAACCCTTACTGAAATCATAATTGAAACAAATAACAGGGGAAAACTGTTCCAAAGCTTTGAATGGTTAAATATGATCATTGTGGTTCAGTGTTTCTCTCTCCTGGATGAGAGTAAAGGGTAATTTCTGTTTAAATTACGGCAGCACTAGTTTGTCGTATTGAGCGCTGATCAGATGTCAGTCTGTCAAGTTTATCCATGATTTGTGATAGTTAATTCTGTTTGACCTGTAATTATTTGACATGTTTTGGTGGATTCATTTGACTTCAAGCTGCTATGAGAGGAGATCAACTGAGGTTCAGTAGCCCTCAATCGGGTCATGACTCGGGTCAATCGACTTTTACTTAATAATAAAAAAAGTTCCCTTCATCTCAGTGGAGTAAGATTTTGTGACTTTTAATACATTATCTATCTATACACACACACACACAAAACTGGGCTTGATTCAGTTGTTTTGAAGGTATGTAAAAAAAAGTTTACACTTCTGGTCTTCGGGTTCAATATGACCCCACATTGAAATGAATGGGAAATGTGAAAAAAAAACTAAATATATTTTCTTCATGTGTAAAAAAAAGAAAGAAAAAAATCCGGCATAAATCTGAGAATTTTTACACAGAAATGAAGGCCTGGTAATAGAGAATAAATGCAATGTATCATAAAAAAAATAATATTTCATATTCAAGCTAATGGTGTAGTTGAGAAATTGCGTGGTATATGGATACAAAAGTACTTTATATCTCCAAAAACACAGCATTAATGAATAGATGAGAAGTAAACAAAAAAAATGATATATTATTTATATGATTAAAAATGTATATTTTTTGTACAATTACTCAATCAATTGTTGGGGTCGTATTAGACCCCAAAGCCCAGAAGTGAAAACAGGAAATGAAGACAATTTGAAGGTTAAAGCACTCTTGACAGATGATTTACCTGTTATATCATTCACTACAACTACATGACATTAAAATCTATAACTTTTATTTTCCCTCAAAATTTTAGGAAGATTTCCACAATATATTGCACTCTTGTAGACTTGAACATAAGTCACGCAACTACCTTTCAATATGAATCAATGATAAATTACAAAAAAGAAGAATCTTTTTCACTATAAGTCTCAATAAGAGCCAGATACATATGTATATACCTATACAGTGTGTGTGTGTGTGTGTGTGTGTGTGTGTGTGTGTGTGTGTGTGTGTGTGTGTGTGTGTGTGTGTGCATTAAAAGGGTTAAACTGTGTCGTGGGAGGATACATATAGACACATATAGACTGAGTGTTTCCAGCGGATATAGTCTTATTATAGCAGACACTGAACTACTGAAGGGCATGTTTCACCTGTTTCTTTTCTTTTGTTTGTGCAGGAGGCGTCTTGGTAAGTTTTAAAATATAATCTTAATTTCTTCCTGTGTCAGAACACTATATTTCTAGTGTTCTAATTAGGGATTTGCATTTCACTTTTCTTCCCAAATCAAACTGATTGACTTTGTATTCAGGCTTTCGGCAATGTCCAACATGACCCACGACTATAATTAAAAATGTCCTTCAGAATTAAACTGCACACTCTTAGAAGAAAAGGTTCTATCTAGAACCTTAAAAGGTTCTATCAGCACTACGTGTTTGGAACCCCTAAAAGGTTCTATACACTCTTTAAAAAAGGGTTCCTCTGGGTTCTATATAGAACCCTGGGGTTCCATACTTGGCCAATAGAACCTTTTACCAAAAAAATGGTTCTATAGAACCATTTTGGAGTTCCATATATGAAGCGGGGGATGGAACCATGTCTGGTTATAAATAGAGTGCACTCTACAGTTGGTAGCTTTAAAAAACGTTAAAGATAAAGAAATCATGCCATCTGTCAGTTCATATGAAATTTAGTCTTTTAAGTCTGTTCTTGAATTCGCCTTGGATTTTGGACTTTCTAAACCAACAAGAACCTTAATCTGTGATTAAAACCTTTTGGTGTTCTCCAGGTGTGTTCAGTTCTGAGACAAAAGAAATACAGTCAGTGATGGAGGGAGATTCGGTCACTCTACACACTGATACTAAAATGCATGAAGATGGAGACATAACGTGGTCTTTTGGAGCAGGAAAGTCTCTCATAGCTAAAATCGATAGAGACACTAACATTTCCTCCACATATGATGATGTTCCTGATGGGAGATTCAGAGACAGACTGAAGCTGGACGATCAAACTGGATCTCTGACCATCACACACACCACAACTGAACACACTGGAGTTTATCAACTAGAGATAACTGGAGTGAAACTGACTTCAAAAACATTCAGTGTTTCTGTCTATGGTGAGTAGAGATCATCTGTCCAAAACGTTTAATATATTCTTGTTTGTTCCTGCAAATAATTTATAAAATGATTTCAGTGGGGTGACAAACACACTTTATGAGATGTATCCATATTCCTTGTTATTATCTCGTTTTCCAGCTCGTCTGCCTGTTCCTGTCATCATCAGTAACTCTTCACGATGTTCTTCAAATTGTTCAGTGGTGTGTTCATCATCAGTGTTGAGTGTGTGTGACGCGACTCTGTCCTGGTACGCAGGAATGAGTGTATTGTCCAGCATCAGTGTGTGTGATCTCAGCATCAGTCTCTCTCTACCTCTGGAGGTGGAATATCAGGATAAAAACACCTACAGCTGTGTGCTGAACAATCCCATCAGCAACCAGACCACACATCTGGACATCAACACACTCTGCAGACACACATGTGCAGGTACACCACCACTCATCAGATATGTGTGTGTGTGTTTACTGACCTGATCTTTCTGTTGTAGATCACACTGATGCATTCACTCACATTCATGTCTCTCTTTAGTCATTACAACACAGTCTCCTCTTCCTCCTCATCCTCCTCCTCCAGTGTCTCTGATAGTGTTGATCTCGGCTGGATCTCTGATGATTGTTGCAGGATTTGGGATCTTCTGGGTCTGCAGGAAACACAGAAAAACTGATCAAGAAGGCAAGTGTTAACTTCTGCTTATAAGAAGAAATTAGTACTATTATGTGTAGTACTGAGTATGACAATTTCTGTGAATTACACTTATAGTGTAATATATGTGTGTCTTACGGGGTTGAACAACATGACATGAGAGAGAGCAATTACTCACAAAATGTTCATTTTTGGGTGAACTATCCCTTTAAGAGACAGTTTTGTCAATTTTATGAAATTAATCACATACATTTGCACTTTAACTTTGTGAAGACAAATATGTAGTTACATTTCTGTGTTGTTTTTGATGCATATTTTTATCGCCAGTTATGGTTGATGAAGATGCTGATGAAACAGTGCAGACTCGTGATGAAGAGATCACTTACGCTGACCCGACACACTATAAACGAAATGCACGTAAACTGGTAAGTTCATTTTTATTTCTATGTCTTATTTGTGAGCACGAGTGCAGGTGTATGTGCTTTATATGATGATCTGACACACACTTACAGTTAGGATGAGTTTTCAGTCTTCTGCTGTGATGGGTTGAGTAGATCAGTGGCTCTTATCGTATGGATTGTGACCCAAAAAATAGGTACATTAAAAATGCTGGGTTGTTTTAACCCAACTTTGGGCCAAATATGGACAAACCCACCCACATGTTGGGTTAAAAATGGCTGGGTTTGTCCATATTGACCCAAAGTTG